TCTTGTGTCACTTTATACCCAATTATACATTTACTTCTCCTTTGTAAACTGAGATCCCCTTTTCCATCACATTATTCGCATCCAAGAAGACATCAGTCTAGGGAATTTCCAGATAGCAACCATTCAGGGAATTTCCTTGTGTAAATTGCTGCCAAATTGTGCCAAAGCTAAACCCAATGGAAGAGAAAACAGTGACCCTCAACATCACAACTCAGGACTGATGATATTTGCCCTCCCTTTCTTTCTCAGCCAAAATAAATAATTAATAAAAACCATATATATCCATATATGACCTTTCTCCATCACGTTTGCTGTACTTACTACTAACATCAGAGGCCACAAATATTATTTAAAAACACTCAGGCCTTCCTAGGTCCTTCATTTAGATTACTAATAATGGAGCCCAAGACTTACTCTTTGCCCTTTTGTTTTTGTTTTGTTTTGTTTTGTTTTCCAAGACAGGGTCTTACTATGTAGTTCTGACTGTCCCAGGACTCACTATAGAGACCAGGCTGGCCTCTAACTCACAGAGATCCACCTGCCTCTGCCTCCTGAGTGCTGGGATTAAAGTCATGGAGCACTATGCCCAACTCCCCCCATCCCCACCCTATGCTGGCTTTGAACCCACTCTGTAGCTGTGATGGTTACTCTTGTCAGCTTGACTGAATTTAGTTAGAATCTCCTAGGAGACATGATTCTGGATGTCTGTCTGTGAGGATCTTTCTTGTGAGGAATAACTGAGGTGGGAAGACCCACCCTGAGTGCAGATGGCACCATCCTTTGAGCTGGGGGAAAGCAGAAAGAAAGCCAGATGAGAAGCAGCACCCCCACTTTCTGCTTCATTATCCTCTGAGATCTCAGGCATCCCAGTCACATGCTCCAGCTGTCGTGAACTCGGCCACACTTTCTCTGTCATGATGGATGGTGCCCTCTCAAATCATAAAACAAAACAAACCCTTCTTTTAAGCTGCACCCATCAGTCAATTTTGTCATAATACTGAGAAATAGTAAGTAACACAGAAACCTAAAGGGACCTTAGAGTCCCAGCAGTCCTTCTGTCCCATTTCTAGTGTTGGGTGTAGAGGCATGATATCACACCTGGCCTCAGGAACGAGGCCATAAGTGAGGACGATGCATTGCTCCAGGGTTCTGTCTACATTCTGCCAGCTGTGTGACACCAGCAGCCTCTACACCAACTTTGTTATAAATGCAGAGAATTTAGGCTCTGAGCCATAGTTTCTGAATCTTGTTGAGATGTCCAGGGGACTCCTGTGCATAGCTAAGTCTCTGGCCTATGGGCCTTCTAGACATAGCCCCAGAGCTGTGCATTCTACTTGAGGTGTCTGCTCTGATGAGGAGATTGAACACTGAGCCAGCATTCAGTCCTTGCTCCCTTGCTTTTCAACAGCTAATCACTTCCTCGGTAATTTCACTCATCTCCAACGTTTCAAAGATCTCTTAACACCTCCCAAACCTATATCTCCAGTTCCGACAACTCTCTTGATTACAGCCTTGACTGCGTGTCCTCCTATCAGTACACAGTGATTCCCTTCTGCTGCTCGTACAGTTCTGAATTCTCAATGTTATCTTTTGCTCGGTTGTGCTGGAATTACAAGCACACACTGTCATGCCTGGATTTCATGTAGATGTTGTGGGTCCAAATTCAAGTGTTCATAATTGTACAGAACTGACTATATTCATCGAGCCTCCTCCCCAGCCTTCCCTTCCTTTATGAAAGTCTGTCTGGATAGAAACCTATGAAAAGAATGATGTCTCACATGAAGACTCTTCCAGCTTGGGCTTTACACTCACATGAGTCTGGACTTCCACTGACCACAGAACCCACAGATATGGCCCTGGGAAAGACCAGCCCTTTCCCTTTGAGGAAAGATACAGAAGGAACCTGTAATAAATTCCCCCTTTAAACAGGATATCTGTTTCCACTTCCTCTCCTGTAAGCCTAATCTTGTCAATAAAAGAAGAAGGAGATTGGATTCAGAAATAAAATTTGACTTACATAAAATTTACATGCCATAATTCTTTGTATTTCCTCTCAACAATGTGCCCTGGTTGACAGCACAACCTCCGCACATATTTAGATTCATTTATTTGCCATTTCTCTCTGATTTCTGTTTAGAGAGAGAAAATCTAGATTGACACACCTCAAGGCAAACTAGATATATTGTTGGGCCAGCCCTATAGGTGACTTTAAAAATTGCCATGGCCAGTTCCCAAAAGCCAGAGACAACACACCTGAAGAAGACAGACATTTTCACAAAGTCACGGACTAGGAACCTACTTCTATCTACTTCCTTCACATAATGTTCTTATGTTAAGCCTCTCTCTAAAGAAAGAGAGGAAGCTCTTAAACACCTCTTCCTTTATGGATTACTCAATGATTTCCCCCTCCCATCCTTCTACTCAGGCCAAACTGGTCTTGAATTGAGCTAATACCTATACCTCTGCCTCCTGAGGACTGAGAATACAATTATGGGCTACCATGCCTGCTCTTCACAGACACACACACACACACACACACACACACACACACGAGAGAGACAGAGACAGAGAGAGACAGAGACAGATTTAGACACATACATAGCCCAGGACTGGAAGTATACAGTTGAGTCTGACTTTAACCCTTTTGCCTCCAACTCTCAAGTCCTGGAACGGCACAACTGGAGTGTACAACCCTGCCCAGAAAAGATATATATTCTTCATACATTTCATGTATATTCTTTATCAGATAAGAGAGGCTAGACTATTTCTAACTCACTCTGGGGAATGTAGACTGGTGAGAAACTTTTCTTAAGTGAGAAACTTTGGAGCACTCAGTTCTGAATGGGATGTCTTCACCTAATCCTCCCCCCAAGGCTCAGGGAACAATGCAGAAGAGGAAGTGGAAATATTTTAAGAACCAGAAGTGGTGGGTGACTCTAAGGAGACAGTGTCTTCCAGACACAACAGGTCTGATGCACATATGAACTCGTAGACTGTGGCAGTACACAAAGACCCACACAGGCTCAAGCCAGGCAGAAATCTCATCACTGAAGGGGAAAGAGGACATCAAGTCCTACCCCTAGTGAAGAAGCTGTTTGCAACTGACACCTTCTGAGAAAGGGAAAATCAACTTTCTTCTGTGCAGTGTTACTGAGTTTATAGACCACATTCCATGACAGCCCCTTGCCCAGGAGTAGTTGGCCCACATAAAACAGACTCCATGTTTTTGTGCGTGGGTATGTGGGCTTTTTGTTTCTTTGGCATTTTTTATCTTAGTATTTGTTTTGATTTTCTTCTATTTTAGAAGGAGAACATGATGTTAAATGTTTAGTGAAGTGGAGAGGATCTAGAAGGAGTTGGGGAGAAGGAAAACATGATCAAAATATATTGATATTATATATATAAATATATTGATTTTATTTCATAAAAGCCAGGTAAGGTGGCTTATGCCTTTAATCCCTGTACTAGTGAGACAGACACAGGAGGACCTGTATGAGCTAGAAGCCAGCCTGTCTACATATACACTCAGAAATACATAGAGAGATCCTGTCTCAATCCCCCTACAAATATACATACATACATACATACATATATATAATGAAAAATAATAAAAACAAAAACAAAGACTGGCTTAGTGGGATATGGGGAAATGTCTTACATCTATCATTTACTGTTTGTTCATTCTTGTCTGAGTTTTCTGTCCTCAGCCATTAACTTGAATTTTAGGTATGAGATTTCTTCTTTAAAAAATTTATTTATTCAATTTGTGTGTGTTATGTGTGTGCATGTGTGAGTGTATGTGTCTATGAGTGTGTGTGTGTGTGAATGAGTGTGCACATGATACGATACCTGTATGGCAGTCAGAGGACCATTTGGAGGATCAGTTCTCTCCTTTCACTTTTTTAGAAGTCGAGTTTGAACTCATTTTTTTTCCCCAGGCTTGATGGGAAGCACCTTTTCTGGCCAGCCACCTTGAAGGGCCTAGTGTGTGAAATTTCTATGAAAGTTTCAGATATGGGACACTAAAGAGACCATGGGTTGCTACCTTCAAATATGGCACTCTGGAATTCTGGTTATTTTAAAGTAAAGGAAGCTAGTAGCAGATGCTGGGTGAGGGGCTTATCACCAAATTACCTAATCTCTCCAGTCACAAAAACCTTTGGTCTTCTCGCTCTATTTCCTTACCTGCTTATGCAGGAGGAAGCCTGCCAGCATCATAGACAGACTCTTTTGCCACATGCTTTCGTCCTCTACAATTTCAAACCATTTACAAATGGATGCATCCTGTGGGACCAAGAGAGTTTGTCCCATGTCAATTGTATGTTCTCTAAGCTCACCGAGTTCCTCTGAAAATAGTTTACTGTCCCCAAATGAGCGGTGGTGGTGCATGCCTTCAATCCCAGGAGTGGAGAGGAATATAAAGTGGAATATGAGACGGGAGGAGATGGGTCTCAGCTCAGTCTCACTCTGAGGATTTGTGGAGGCAGGTTTGCTGTTTTGGTCTGAAGTAGAGGTAAGAGTCAGAGGTTGGTTGCGTTGCTTTTCTGATCTTCAGGCCGGATCCCAATACCTGTCTCTGGGTTTTTATTATTCGTACTACATATGGGGACTCTTCTTATTCAAACCATCACATGATCAATATTTTACTATGTAAATGCTGATCAATGTAACCTACACAAAATCTTGCTGAGGATCTATTTTGCAAAGCCATATGGAGATCCTAAATCTAAAACACTGAGAATTTCTGCCCTTCACAGCTCCTAGGTGGGACCTAGGGAGACACTGACAAACAGCGCTAGGTACAGGAGGATGGAGGTAGCAGTAAGGTCCCTGACCTCAGGTTTTAACTTTCAGAGTGGGGAAGTCAAGAGTTGGGAATTTCCATCAGCCCTGGTTTTCATTTCCCCAGCCCACTTCCTTGGTCAGTTGCCTGGTTCTTGTGCCTTAAACAAGTATTCTTCCTCCCATTGTATGCTTCCAGAGAAAGCCAATCCGAGTCACCGCGGTCTCTTCCCACACACTCATAGTGCTATAAAATCCACAGAGAGGAACGAGGACTCACTTTCTCCAGACCTTTGAAACACCAAGGATGGGAACCCCAGCTCCCGGAGGCTTCCTCCTGCTGCTCTTGGTCGCACTGACTCCAACTCTGGCCCAAACCGGTGAGTACAGGAAATGGCCTCTGATGGGAGGAGTGCAAGGAAGCCCGCAGTGAGCAGAGGAGGGCAGCCCTAGGGAAATATGGTCCTCCCTGCTCTGGCGTCTGGGTGATCCCTGACACTCATGCTCATGCCTTGTTCGCCTCCCTGCACCTGCTACCCCGGAAAAGGAAGGAGAATTGGGTTCTTAACGTTAACGTTGTCCCCAGGGTCACACTCGCTAAGCTATCTTGACATCGCTATGTCCAGACCTGGCCTGGAGCCCCTGTACATCTTCACTGGCTACGTGGATGACACGCAGTTTGTGCACTTCGACAGCGATGCGCAGAGTCAGAGATTGGAGCCAAGGGGTCCGTGGGTGGAGAAGTTACCGCCAGAGTATTGGGAGCAATGGACGCAGACAGTCAAGATCCGCAAACATTTTGCCCCAGTTCTCCTACAGGCCGCTGCCAAAGAATACAACCTGAGCCAGGACGGTGAGTGACTCTAAGTCGAAGTTCACGGCCCATCCAAGTCCCCATGCCCGCTCTAGCTTCTCAGTGTCCCCGGGACCTAGACTTAGCCTTGAGGTTGCAGGACCAACGGAGATACTCCACTCGGGAATTGAGGACTGTGACTGAGATTTTGTGGTTCAGTTTAGACCCAAATCCCATTGCGGGTTGAGGCAAGGTGGGCAGAGCTAACTGTGGGGGCGGGGCCAGTCTCTCACACTTTCCAGTGCTTGGATGGCTGTGTCATTGGGCGGGATAGGCGCTTCCTACGAGGGTACAGTCGGCACGCCTTTGATGGCCAGGATTACGTTGCTCTGAACGACGACCTGAAAACATGGAGAGTGGCTGACTCAGCGCCTCAGATCACCGGGCAAACCTGGAAGAAGACTGTTTCGGCAGAGTCCCGCGGGACTTTCCTTGAGGTGGAATGCGTCCGGATTCTCCTCAGCTTCCTGGAGGCGGGCAAAGAGATACTGTTGCGCACAGGTACAATGGGGCCTAAGGGGCCATGGGACAATACCCTTGGACTGATTTGGGCTCAAGTCTCCCAAGAAAGGAGGAAAATGGGATCAGCTGGAATATGGCCTCTCTTTGTCATTGGGAAGGGGAAGTGCTTCCCAAAGGGGAAGAGGATTTCTGGTGTCTTTGGACCCTGACTCTGGTGATGTTGAATCTCTCTGTCCCCACCCAGTCAGGATTCCAAGTCCATTTTTGTCAGTGAAAGACCAGGAGTCTCCTGGGCAGGTGTAATCTCCTTGTAGAATTTGCCAAGGAATAAATTTCCAGATGCTGAATCTGGGCTCCTCTGTACTCCTCTTCCACACTAGTTTCCCTATGCAGTGCCAGATGGTCATGTGAGTACAAGTGCATTATTTTATTAAAAACAAAAACTGCATGAACTTTCCAAATCTTCCACTCAGATCCCCCAAAGGCACATGTGACTCATTATCCCAGACCTGAAGGGGATGTCACCCTGAGGTGCTGGGCTCTGGGTTTCTATCCTTCGGAGATCACCCTGACCTGGCAAAGAGATGGGGAGGACCAGACCCAGGACATGGAGTTGGTGGAGACCAGACCAGCAGGAGATGGAACGTTCCAGAAGTGGGCAGCTGTGGTGGTGCCTTCTGGGGAAGAGAAAAGATACACATGCCACGTGGTCCATAAGGGACTACCCAAGCCTCTTATTCTGAAATGGGGTAAGGAGAAGAATAGGCATAGAATCTGTTGCCAGAGAAACTAGAATCAAGTCTGAAGACCTGAACAGGGTCAGGGCTGAAAGCTAACATCAGGCCTCACTCTTCCTTCCTTTCCTAGAGACACCTCAGCCCACCACCCCCATCGTGGGAATCACTGCTGGTCTGATTCTCCTTGGGGTTGTGGTCACTGGAGCTGTGGCTGCCACTGTGATGAGGAAGAAGAGGAGCAGAGGTAGGGAAGGGGTTGCTTTCTGAGGGTTTTTGTCTTGCTGGGAAATTCCAACCCCTCGTAAAAATGTTCCTATTTCATATTTTGTTAATATGAGGCGCACATGTGAATGTATGCTTACCCATTCTGGGATCTGTTGTTGTTTTTTCTTTCTTTTTTTCTTTTTGAGACAGGTTTCTCTGTAGCTCTGGTGCCTGTCCTGGAACTTGCTTTGTAGACCAGGCTGGCCTTGAACTCACAGAGATCCACTTGCCTCTGCCTCCCGAGTGCTGAGATTAAAGGCATGCACTACCACGGTGCACCAACCAACACTAGCTTTTTGTAAAGCATTTGTGAGAAAAAAGAACAGAAATTTCATATTGACAATTTTGGGGGATTCTTATCAGTTAAGAGTCAGAGGGATGCCAGCGAAAGGGACAGCTTCATGAGGGCATTTGGTCGTCTTTCTGCCCACATGTCTCTTCTTGTTTGCTGATCCTACTATGCACCTGTAGCCAGACTTAGAATTTGCCTGATGTCTAGTCATTAGAGGTTTCCTAGGACCTCATAATACTGCGTACTCTTGGCCATTTTTCTCATGTATGAAAAATGATATATTTATGTGCAGATAATTTCCCCAGAAATTGACTTTACTTATTCTACTTTCACCCTTTGGCCACATATCCCAGCACTTAACTCTCGTCGTGGATGAGGGAATACCCCACTGAGAGTCTAGCAGGGAGGCAAAGCCCAAGTCTCCATCACGTTCCCATATTCCTGCAGTTGGGAATAGCATGGGTCCTCAGTTCCACAAGCTGAAGGACATGCTAGACCACCACATGCAGGACCTTAACTCAGCAAAAGGTGACAAGGAAAACCTGAAGTTGCAGAAAATACATTTTGGCAAGGATGCCATTGTCACATACAGTTTCCAGGAGCAGCAGGGACAGTTTTCCACGATACAGTGGCCAGCACTGGGGCACCAGTGGTGTGATCAGGGGCACCTGGGTCTCGGGGAATTTGTGTGGATCCTGTTGTTGATAGGAGTGTGGGTTCTGTTTCTAGCATGATGTCTCAAGCTTAATTTTTTGGCTTTTCCCAAAACCAAGTACGCCCCAATATCAAATATAAAAATGTCTACGTTTAAGTAAGAATATGGATTCCATTATTTCTGGCAAGAAGAAACCAGGTTGGAGAATTTTCAGATAACAACCATCCAGAGACTTTTGTTGTATAAATTGCTTACTAAACCTTCCATCTGAGACTACACCCAGGGTGAGAACAATTTATCAGCATAAAAACTCAGGATTGACAGCATGTCAAACTTTACTTTCTTAAAATTTTTAGAATGCCCATCTAAGACCCTTCTCCACCTTGTGTGCTGCTCTGACCACTGACATCACTAACCACAAATATTGTTCCAAATACCCAGGTCTATTCCAGAGCCGTAATTTAGATTGTGAATCATGGAGCCCAGATCTCATTTTTTTTTTTTTTTTTACACAGGATCTCATACCGTATCCCAGGCAGGCTTTGAGCTCACTATGTAGCTGTGATGGCTAACCTTCATCCGCTTCACTGGGTTTAGAATCTCATAGGAAATGCATCCATAATATACTGTGAGAGGTTTCCAGACAGGATGAACTGAAGAAGGAAAACTTACTCCGAATTTGGTTGGTACCATCCATAGCCAGGGATCCCAGACTGAATAAAACAGGAAAACTGAGAAAATCAGATGAGAGCCAGTTTTCTACCTGATTCCCCATCAGTGGAGATGTGAGAAGTCTCAGTCAGTGTCTCTAATGCCATGAGCTCTATCACTCCTATGCCAAGGTGGTCTGTACTTCAGTTACAAACCAAAATAAACTCTTCAGGTGCTCTGTCTGGCCTTTGTCACAACAGTGAGAAAAGTAAGTAATGCAGAAACCCAGGCTGGCCTCCAAGTTCCAGCGATGTGGGGGTTATAGGTTTGGACTACCACATCTGGCTCCCGAAATCATTTGTGTAACAAGATATAATGGATACACAGCCCAGTAGTTCCCTGTCTACATCAGTCTTTCTAAGTGATCTCAACAGCAGCAGCTTCTGTTCCAAGTCTAGAATTTCAGATCACTGTCAGACTTCCTGAATTTTGTTGAGATATCTAGAAAACGCTTGTACATAGTGAAACCTGGGGCTTCCTGGTCTATGGGCCTTCAAGACTTACGGCTTTCTCATGTATCTGGAAGTGTTTCCCTCAGTGTTTTCTTCTAGCAGTTTCAAAATTTTGTTACATTAAATTCTTGGCCTGTTTTCAATTTACAAAAATAAATAAAAACAAAAACAGGGTAATAGCAATGCAGTGTTATTTTTCTACTGTTTACTGAAAAAGTTTGTTTTTTCAATGTATTTTTTGATACTGTTGTTGAAAATCAAGTGGCTATAAGCAGGGTTTATTTCTGCATCCTCACCTCTTTTATTGGCCAATATGTCTGTTTCTATGCCTGTACCATGCTGGTTTTGTTAATTTGAGATAGGTACTGCAATTCTTCCGGCATTGCTCTTTCTGCCAACAACTACTTTGGCTTTTCTCCTTCCATCTGAGTTTTAGCATTACTTTCTCTCATTCTTTGAAAAATGTCATTGAGATTTTTGTGGGACTTAACACTGAATTTCTAGATTGCTTTCAGAATTACAGTCAAATTCAGAATATTAATTCTGTATATTCATGAAAATCTTCTAGTACATATCTGTTTGTTCACAAAGGGTCTTACAGTGCCTTCCTACATTTCTTTCTAACTGTTTTCTGTTTGTTTGCTTGTTTATGTAGAACAGATTGGCCCCAAAGATTTTGCTTTCTGAGTTCTGGATTAGAGCTGAGTCACCAGGTCCAGTCTTCTTTGGTACCTACAGTTTTACTTATAGATACCTTTAACCTCTTGATTTAGGTTTATTCCTAGGTATTTAGTACTTTTTCATAGCAGCTCTGAATGAGATTGCTTTCCCAATCTTTCTCACTCTGTTCCCTGTTACTTTACTGAAAGTATTTTATGCAATTTCAAATATAAGAACATGTCATCTATAAATAAAGATCATTTGATGTCTTCCTTTATTGGTGTCCTGGTGTCTCTCTTACTTCCCTGGCTAAGATTTCAGGAGCTACCTTGACTAAGAGCAGAGAGAATAAACCAGGTGTGGTGGCACACGCCTGTAATCCAACACTTGGGGGGCAGAGGCTGGCAGATCTCTGCGAGTTCAAGGTCAGCCTAGTCTACGCAGTGAGTTCTAGGCCAACCAGGGCTGTATAGAGACCTTATCTAAGAAAAAATGGGGATGGTAGAGAGAATAAACAGTATCTCATTCTGATTCTCAGGAAATATTTTTCAGTCTTCATTGCCGCTTAGTATAATGTTTGCTGTGTTTGTTTTATATTGCATTTGTTATGTTGAGGTACATTCTATCTTTAGTTTCTTCAGGACTTAAATTTACCTAAAGGATGTTGAATTTTGCCAAAGGCCTTTACTGCATCTATTGAGATGATCCTGTAACTTCTTTCTTTGCTGCATCTATTGAGATGATCCTGTAACTTCCTTCTTTACAACTATTATTTGTCATATTACATTTGTTGACTGGCCTAGGCTGTGATTACTTGATGTTTTGAGATGTGTGGAGGAAATTGCTTTGTTCTTTGTATCATGTTAAGGAAGTCTTTGCCTTACCCCTCGTGATTGGGGTATATAAGAACTTTAAATAATAAATTTGAGGTGGGTCAGGGAACATACAGATCAGTTGGGCTAAACCTGACAATGGGTTTTTTAAATTAGCATACTTAATGGTACTCTGATTTTGTTACTATCTGATGTAATGTTACCCTTTTGTTTCTAAATTTATTAATTTGAGGTTTTTTCACTGTTTTTGAGAAAGGGTTTCACCATATATCCCAAGTTGGCTTGGAACTTACTATGTAGCCCAAGCTAGCCTTGAACTTCCAACAATTCTCTTGCCTCCACCTCCTAAGTACATAGGTTTTATCATTATGCCCAGACTTATTCACTGTGGGTTTATAACCACAACGGAACAGGAACAGTACAAGCACTAGGAGCAGGTTTGCTATGTGAATGAGCAACAAACGTATCCTGGAGAAAGCCCTCCACATGAGCTAGAAACATAAGGATAGAATTGTTATTGCTCCTTTTTTTCTTTTTGAAAGAATAACTCTAAGAAAAGAGAAATAAAAGCTATCAATAGTGTAAATTATGTAAACAGACCAGGTAACTAGTTTTTAGTATATTCAGTTATAGTCCTATATATCTTTGGGGTTTAATTTAAAAATATCAATGAATAAAACTTCATTTCCATTAAGTAATTGTAAACAGAATCACTTATAAATACATCCTTGGGGAGCAAAAACTATCAAGTCTAGGTATCAACTACCATAAATCATAGGTGAGCAGTTGTCACTAGGGGAGCGGCAAAGGGCTGTGAGAGCAAGCACATGAGGGCTCCACATGGAAACTGATTCTCCGCTTCTCAGCCTGACCAGGTGCAGGGTTTTCCTGTGAAGACCACTGGCTCCTGGCTGCAGATCATACTGTCTAAGCACTGGAATTATAGGCATTTGCCACCCTACCAAGCTTAAAGACAATGTTTCCTGATCTGAAATCTAAGGCTAGGGGTTTCCTTTAGGACTTCATAAACTCCTTGGTCCATTTCTTCCCATAGTTGGAAAATGGTGTCCTTACACTCAGACCATTTCTCCAAAAATTGATTCTCAGCATTCCATGTCCACTCCTGAGCCACATGTCCAGAATTTTCGGTTTTCACCCTCTTCCCACATTAGAGCAGTGGGGTCTCAACTTTCTTCTTCTTTTTTGGCGGCGGGGGGGGGGGGGGACACAGACACACAGGGTTTCTCCGTAGCTTTGGAGTCTGTCCTGGAACTCACTCTGTAGACCAGGCTGGCCTTGAACTCACAGAGATCCACCTGTCTCTGCTGATCTCAACCTTCTTAATGCTGTGACCCTTTAAGACACTTCTGGATACTATGTGGTTGTTTCTGCATGTGGTTGGACTCACCTGGAGACTGATAGGAGCAGTGTCTCAGTTCCTAAGACCATCAGAAATAAGTGTTTTCCATGGTTTTAGGTTATCCCCAAAGGGGTCGTGACCCACAGATTGAGAAACCCTGCAGTAGAGCTTAGAAATGAGGCCAAGTCCCTCATCACTTTCCCAAGCATTCCTGCAGCTGGGCATGACCACATGTTGGACCTTGCTTCAGCACCTGGTGGTAAGGAAAAGCTGGAATTGCATAGAATGCACTTGACATTGCCACACTGAGTTTCATGGGGCAGCATAGAAGCTGTCTCAACCATAGCGACCAGCTGCAGAGTGGTCAGTGACTCCTGTGCCCCGTGAATCCTGTATCAGATCTGATGCTGATGCATTTGTAGGTTCTGTTCGTAACTGTGATATCTTAAGCTCCAATTTCACATATACAGTCCCTTTATATATAAATAAGAATTTGGATTCTACTATTTGTATGTAAAGCAAGAAATCATTTTAGGAAATTTTCAGGTAGCAAGGATTCACAGACATTTGCTATATGAATTGTTGTCTCTTAAACTCTATCTATCCATGGGGAAACAAAATACATCTCTTAATATGGCATTTCAGGACTGATGACGCATGTCCTCTTCCCTTTTACTTCTTGAAAAAAGTTAAATGCTCATTTGAAGCTCATCTCTATCATGTTTGATGTTCTGATCACTAATATCAGTGGCCTCAAATCTTGTCCATACTTTTTCTAAGGCCCACCATTTAGATGCTAACTTTTGGGGGGGGGGTTGGTTTTGGTTTTGGTTTTTCGAGGCCAGCTGTCTGGGAACTCATTCTGTAGACCAGGCTGGTCTTGAACTTGAACTCTGAGATCTTCAGGCCTCAGAGTCAGGGGTGGGGGGGGAGGGAATAAAGGAGTGAACTACCACGCAGGGGGTCTCCTCAACAAGCAGATTACTTTGAGCTAAAGCCTACAGGAAATCAACCCCCAAGGAATGCTGCCCAGCAGGGAACAAATCTTCCTTTTCTAAAGGAAATTTACATTAGAAAAGACCTCATTCTTATCAGTGAAGAGGGTGCTTGCTTAAATCTGCATAACAAGTTTTTATTCATTTACCACACTTTCCCTGATCTCCTTCCTGTTACCCAACTCCCCTCCTCCTGCTCACTCAGTTCACTCTGCCTCCAGCGTACTGGAATTAAAGGCCTGTGCCACCAAAGCCCAGCGGTTGCTGAACATTTGCAAGGTTTCACACTGTCAAGACAGGCTGGTTTGGAACTCACTAATGTAGCAGTGATGGCTACTCTTCACTGAAAACTTAGCAGATTTAGAATCTCCTAGAAGATGCATCCCTGAGAATGTCCTTGAGGGTGTTTCCAAGAGAGAATTAACTGAAAGGGAACTCATCCTGAACTTGGGTTTCACCAGTCCATTCTCTGGGGCGCAGACTGAATCAGAGAGGAGAAAGGAGAAAGCCAGAGGAGTACCAGTATTCCCTACTCTCGCGGAGCGCCAACCACATGCTCCTGCAGTCATGAACCCACTAGGCCTTCCTCACTGTGATGGACTCGGCTCTCCTAAATCACGAGCCAAAATAAATTCCTCTTCCCTCAATTTGCTTCTGCCAGGTCTTTAGTCGGAACAATGACAAAAGTTAATACTGACCTTGAACTCTAGGAAATTGTCCCGCCTCTTCCAGGATTACAAGTGTGAATGACCATACCTGGCCCTGGTAATCACTTAGGCAATAAGCAACAAGCTGTGAGGCTGATACATATAGCCTAGAGGTTCCTGGTCTATATTCTTGACCATGGTACATGATTTCTAGAAATATATATAACTTGGTTTATAGTTATTTTTGCATCCATATTCACCAGATAATTGAGAATTGAGCCATAATTTTTAGAGTTGTTATGCAGTATGGTTAGCTTCATAAAGAGTTTGGTAATATTTCATTTCTAGTTTATGGAATAATTTGAGTAGCATTAGTTTTGTAGAATATTAGTTTAAGATGTGTTACATTTGTTTATAAAGTAGAATATTTGTTTAATGATGCAAAGATATGTTGCATTCTTTTTTTTTAAATTTTTGCTTATTTATTATATATACAATATTCTGTCTACGTGTATGTCTTCAGACCTGAGAGGGCACCAGACCTTATTACAGATGGTTGTGAGCCACCATGTGGTTGCTGGGATTTGAACTCAGAACCTTCAGAAGAACAGGCAATGCTCTTAACCACTGAGCCATCTCTCCAGCCCCCTATGTTGCATTCTTTTATGTTACATTTGTTTTTCTATACAGCTGTGTTACTTTGCCAGTCTAAGAACACGATTGGTCTAATAAAGAGCTGAATGGCCAATAGCTAGGCAGGAGAGGAATAGGTGGGGCTGGCAGGTAGAGAGAACAAATAGGAGGAAAAATCTAGGCTAGAGAGAATAGGGAGGAGTGAGAAAAGGAAAAGGAGAGGAGGATACCAGGAGCTAGCTACCTAGCACACAATCAGCCATGGAGCAAGGAGGAAAGAAAGATATATAGAATAAAGAAAGGTAAACTGTCCAGAGACAAAATGTAATTAAAAAGAAATGGGATAATTTAAGTTAGAAAAGCTGGCTAGAAACAAGCCACGCTAAAACCAGGCATTCATAAGTAAGAATAAGTCTCTGCGTATTTATTTGGGAGCTGGGTGGCAGCCTCCCCTCCAAAGACATTAGTCTTAGTCTATAAATGTCTGGTAGAATTCAGCAGTGAGTCCATCCAGTCCTGGGCTTTTTTTAAATTGGGAGACTCTACATCGCTGCTTCAACAGACAAATTCAGCTATTTCCATAAAGAAGTTGTCTACAGCACTCTTTCAGTCCCTTTAATGGAATAGTGAACCTCAGAATTACAAAGGAAACTAGACTGATACTAATGTAACTTCTCACACCAGCAAATAGTGTCAAATACAGAAAGCTGATAGGATGATTGTCATCCAGAAAACAGGAACAGAATTTATCCAGGTGGTACTGCCAGCCTGGTGGTGGGTGGGCAGGGAAACATGTGGCAGTTTTAATTCAACCAAATTAGAGAGATGCTGTCAAACAATAAATTAAGCATTCAGTTCCTCAGGTACACTAGTCACGCTTTAATGGTCAATGGTCACATGCAAGAAGTGGTTACTCTTCTGAAGAACACAGATATAAGAGTATTGGTTACTCTTCCAGAGAACCCAAGTTCAATTCTGTCCCGCGCTACCGTCTCGCCAGCAAGAACGATACGGGACACTTAGGATCCTTCTGCAGAAAAGCTTTAATGCGTCTTGAGAGAGAGAGAGAGAGAGAGCATAAGCTTCCAAAGCGGAGACCCAGAATGAGGGGAACCCATCCCTTATATAGGAAACAGTCCTCGCTTCGGACGTGTCACTCTTGGATTGGTCCGCTGCCCATCAACCCAGATGACACCTCGGGAGTAGGCAGGGACAGCAACAGTGGAAAGTTATTAAAGGTGTGTGCTACAACACCTTGAACTCACAGAGATCTGTCTCTGCCTCCCAGGCATAGGGATTAAAGGCGTGTACTACCACACCTTGAGGTCACAGAGGTCAATCTGCCTCTGCCCCTTGAAGTCAGAGGTTAATCTACCTCTGCCTCCCTTGTGTTGAGATTAAAGGTGTGTACTGCCACATCCTGAAGTTACAGAGGTCAACTACCTCTGCCCCTTAAAGTAATGGAGAATGTGGTTGCGGCCCTCCACACAATTCCACCAGTCATATGGTGGCTCACAACTGTAACTCCAGTTCCAGAGCATCTGATGTTCTCTTCTGACTTCCTTGGATACCAAGTATGTCCATGGTGCACAGACACATATGCAGATAAAACACCCATATGAAAAAAATAAATTTATTTAAAAAAATTAAACAAGGTGAGATGACATACACCTTTAATCCCAGCACTCTGGAGGCAGAGGCAGGCAAATCTCTTGTGAGTTTGAGGCCAGACTGGTCTACATAGTTATTTCCAGGACAGTCAGGGCTACATAATAGAAAGATCCTGTCTCAAAAGAACAAAACAAAAGAAAATGAACTGAATGGGGAAATAATCTGCTGCATTCAACTTGGTGAATAAATTCTCCCCATATTAAAACCTTGCTTCGTGACTTTCAATGAGCTCTGAAGACTGTGTCTGAGAGGCTGGGTTTGCATAACTCTGGAGTAATCGATGCTAAGGGAAGGTGTTGCTTAAGTGGGTGGTAGGAAGTGATGAAATATGAATGCCTACTATATTCCCTTTTCTAACCTCCTTTTCCCTCTTCCTCCCTCACTTAGGCAGGGGTCCTTCTTTTGTACAGTACCTGTATATACCTTATCATAACCCTCGCCACATTACCTGGCAGCAGAGTGAGTATCAACCATGAGTTCTTCCCTACTCAATGGCAAGGACTTCTCTTCAGGGTTGTGCCAAGTTTCTGCTGCATTAATGACTTTATTCTTGTTTTATGTGCACGGGGTGTTTTGCTTACATGTATGTCTATATGAGGGTGTCAGATCCCCTGGTACTGGAATTACAGATAGTTGTTAGCTGCCATGTGGGTATTGGGAATTGAACCCAGGTTCTCTGGAAGAGCAGCCAGTGTTCTTAATCACTGAACCATCCCTCCAGCCCTTCTGCGGAATTAAGACATTCTATTCTGGAGGGAGGTTCATTAAGACTCATGAAATAGCCAACTGCTGGATCCCAGGAAGTTCCCCAAGTCTTGACAACCAGAGAGAGGAGACTTCTGACCTGTCTGATATTTGCACGTCCTGCAGAGGGCTCTGGGGTTGCAGCTTTCACAAGTCATCACCCACACTATGGTAGGTGTTTGTAGTGATGCAGAACTGTTTGAACATCCACATTCACGGAAGTCACTGCAAGAACTAACTTGCTTGCCAAGTTGGACTTATGTGGAATTGTTGCTTTGGTCTGTCATTGGTACCTCATCTGGGGTAAGGAGACATTTATCCATGTCTCCCCAGGGAAAATCTTCTACAATATTCACTCATCTTCAGTAACAAATACAATGCACATAGGAAGAATCTCAAAACTAAACTTTTCATACAAATAAACTATATGTTCTAAGTCAGAACTTCAGGGACTAGTTAGAATTTCTCCAGTAAAAGCATAAAAGTACCCACCAAAGTGTAAGATTATATTGAACTGTAGAAACATTACTAAGTTAACTTTGAAAGTTGGAAGCAGGAAGAACCAGAGATCCCGGCAGATGAGAAAAATCCCTTATTCACCGCAATTCCACATTCACTTATTGCACAGCTAGGCCTTCCCAGCTGGGGGCGCTAACATGTCCCACAATGCTCATCATCCTCCATAAATCCAATGCGAAGTTGTTCCTACTTTACAAATAAGAAAAGAAGGTTTAAAAGAACAAGCTGGACTGGCAAAAATGACTCAGTGGGTAAAGGTTCCTGCTGCCAAGCCTGACGACCTAGGTTCAGTCTCTAGGTCCCGCATGATGGAAGAGCACCAACTCTTGCAAGTTGTCCTCTGACCGCCACACTGACCCATGGTGGTGCGCGCACACACACACACACACCCACACACACACACACACACACACACACACATATACCACAATAAATAAATATAATCCAAAATTTGTTGAAAGAACAATTTGAACAAAGACAAATAAATTAGAAATGTCTAGGCAAACTTTCAAGCCCAGACTGTCTGATCACTATGTATGTATGTAAGAGAAATACCACCATTCATCAACTTATGCAACCAGAACACAAAAAAAACAGGTTCATAGAAGAATCAAGGTTTCAGTCCAGCAATGGTGGCACACACCTTTAATCCCAGCACTTGGGAGGCAGAGGCAGGCAGATCTCTTAAATTCAAGGTCAGTAGGATCTACAGAGTGAGTTCCAGGACAGCCAGAGAAACCCAGTCTGGAAAAAAAGCAAAAAAGAAACAGTTTCATTACCAAAGCTCTGAAATTTTACTGATCTTTTAATTTTCCTATTTGAGTTCTCAGAAAGGGTGGCACAGCCAAGAATCTCCTTCCATACGGTTTTATAATTGTGCTCACTTCCTCTTCGTCCTGAGATTTTTCCATAAGAATATCCACTTTAATCCGACTTGTACTGGACGGCTGGAAAAGTGGGTACGCAACAACCCTTTCAAGCTCCTTTGTCTCTTTCTTCCCTCGACCACGCCTCTCAGGTAGTGGGATCTGGCTCTGACTTTTTCTCAAGATTCTTTCTTTGAGTCTTTGCTCGAGAAGTTCCCGCCCTCGAATCATGCGTTCTTGATGATCTTTAATTTGGTGCAGCTCTCTCTCGCTTACTTGCCTTCTTCTCTGTGCTTTCGGGATGCTCTCCTTTTCTGGCACAATCTTGGGTAGTATGGTTTCACTGAGGAGTCGGGTCTGCCTCCAGGCTTTGTTCTTAAATTCTCTGGCCTGGCCTGCTCTGAGGATGTGCCTCTCTATTTGTTTCTTCTCTCTCTCGGGCACACAATAATGCGGTTTTTGTCCCTCTGTGCTCGGTGGTGTTTCCTCTTCCACTTTCGTCTTTGTTTCCCCGCCGGTGTCTTCTTTTTTCATCATCTCCATTATTCTTTTATTATAGTAAGACTCTGCTTTTGCCAGCCAGTAGTCAAGAGAATGAGCTTGCTCCCTGCAGAGCACTCTGCTCTCCTCTCGGCATTTCTGAGTCACCAAGTGCCTTGCTGCTGTAGTGTGCACACCACCAAGACTCTGTCAAAGTGAGGGTCAGAGTTTTATAATTTTCCCTTCAAACACATTTAAAAGCACTTTGCCCTCCTCAATACTATCAAGAAAGGAGTCTTGGTACATGTCCTAATCCCAGAACTCTGAAATCATAAGCAGATGGATACACACACACACACAAACACACAGCATTTAATTACTTCAGAGTAATGATTCAAATTTTAAGCCCTATGCTCCCAGGCAAGTCTGGTTGTTTTGAAAGTACCCAGTACCCGTCACCAATAAATTACTAGGTTTTAAAACCCAGACTCTGGACGTTGGTGTTGGGATAATTTCCAGGCACGGAAGCTGCGCTGTGGAGGACCACCTCAAGTGTCACCTGTGCAGAAGGACTTTAAACCTCAGGCTCCTTTTCTCTAACTCCAAACTGTACAGTCTACAATTTATTTACCAGGAGCCTCTTCTCCAGTGGAGACTGCTGACCTTCTGCAATCCTAGGGTCTTTGGATGCTTTTGCCCAAGCCAATCTGGAAGATAAAAAAAACCAAAGGTAGATTGGAATGTGGGAGATGCCACATTTGCTCACCCATCCTCCCTCCCGATCAAAGAACTCAAATATCTGGCCAACAGCAAAGACCATTTCTCCACTGAGAAACCACTGAATTTCCCATGGTGCAAAACGATGAAGGTCATTCTTTTCACGTGAACTAAAATCACACCTCTCCTGTGGACTCAGTGTGAACCACTCAGAATCTTGCACTTGGGACTGAAAGAGGGGAAGAGCAGGCTCTTTGGTGAGGGGTGGCCTAAGGACTCCCAAACCAAACGGTTCAGTCTCAAGACTTCTTTTGTCCTCCGAGGTAACTCTAGGCTCTCGTTTTGTCAGCTCACTGTCTCTCTGCACTTTATCCAACCAGGCCCTTTGTGCCTCTATCAGCACATACAGCATCTTTGCTTTGTTTTGTTCTGAGATTCTATTCTTGTTTGATCTGGCCCTCTGCTTGACCGACTGGCACCGTCAATCATCCTTCACCCTGAATCTGTTTTTAGACTGTTCCTGTTGAGACCATGCAGGCAGAGCTTTGTGGCCCTCTCTCTCTGTGTTTGTTTATCAAGCTGATGGCACCGCAAGTGAAGGTCACTAAGGATTTATGAGTCACTCCTGCTCAAACCTGAGTTTACTGTGAGGTCGCATTCAGGCCACCGAAGCTGACTAACACACAGCGTGGGATCCTCAAACTACAGTCAAAAGCAAAGACTTTGAGGACTGACAGGAAAAAACTGAGCCATAATTCTATTTCCTCAATGTATGATTCAGGGTAAGCCAACTAGCTTCAGTTTCCTTATTTATAAAGTGCAGATGTAAGACAAGAACTACTCCTCAGGGTCAAAAAGAACAATCGTGGTTTAGTGTAAAGAGAGTACATGGTACATTCTCAGTAAACATCAGCTACCTGCCTGTTACAAGTGAGCCCCTTGGTCTCTAGGAGTCTCCCCTCATCAGAGATTCTCCTTCCTCTGCAGAGTTTTATTTTACAACTTAAAAATCCATCACTATTGGGGGCTGGAGAGATGGCTCTGTGATTAGGAGCACTGGCTGCTCTTTCAGAGGACCTAGGTTCGAGTCCCAACACCCACATGGCAACTCATAACCATCTGTTCTAGTTATAGGGTATCAGACACCCTGTTCTGACCTTCATGGGCACCAGGCATGCAATGTGGTATACATACACATATGCAGGCAAAACACTCAAAACAGTTAAGTAAACCTAAAAATATTTGTAAAAGCTGATCACTATATTATGGTATCTATGGTCATATATAACATTTTGATATTGAAATTTAGAAGTATATAAATTATAAGGCAAAACCACAAGTAATTGTTTATAATATGGAAGAGGCTCTAATATCTAATATTTTGCTCCACTGACTTCTTAGACATTCCTTTAAGAAAAGATTTACTTATTTCTATTTTTTTGTTTGTTTGTTTTTTATTTTTCGAGACGGTTACTCTGTGTAGACTTGGCTGTCCTGGAACTCTCTGTAGATTAGGCTGGCCTCGAATTCACAGATTCACCTGCTTCTGCCTCTCGAGTGCTGGGATAAAAGGTGTGCACCACCACTGCCTGGCTTTATTTCTATTTTTAATGTGTACTGCTGCTTTGCCTACATGTGTTGATGTACCACATACATGTAGTGCACGCAGAAACCAGAAGAGGGCATCAGATTCTCTGGAATTGGAGTTACAGTTGTTAGCTGCCAAAGCCATCTACTTACTACTAGGCCATCTCTCCAGCCCTTCTTAGACATTCTTACTTGCTCATAGTTTGAGACTGAAAAAATTACTGTCCTAGAACTTGACATGGAGGTTTCATGCCTGTAATCACATTTAGGAGGCTGAGAGGAGTACTTTGAGTTCTAAGTCAGTCTAGGCTATGAGACTCTGCCTCCAAAAAATAATAATGACCACTTCACTTGCATTTCATCTTTATAAAATATTTATTTTTACTTTATGAGTGTTTGCGTCCGTGAATGTTTGTGCACCACTTGCATGCTGTGTGTCTGTAGAGCCCAAAGAGGGCACTGGATCTCCTAGAACTGGAATTAGAGATGGCTCTGAGTACCCATGTGATGTGGATGCTGGGAAGTAAACCAGGGTCCTCTGGAAGGCAGTCAGTTCTTAACCACTGAGCCACTTCTCCAGCCCCATATTTTCATTTCTTGCACAAGGCATCCAGTGTAGTACTATGATTGTTAAGTCTCAAAATTAGGACTGTTCAGTATCACACAGTAGCTAAACACTCCCTCATCGCTATCATAATTTAACTCAGTAGAAAAGGGCTTACCTACTAACCCTGGAGTCCATCCCAACAGGCATGCACGCACACACACACACACACCATACTTATTTTAGAAACAGGCATTCATTACATGTGAAGGCTGGCTTAGACCTTGCTCTGTAGCCCAAGGTGGCTTCAAACTCACAACCCTCCTGACCCAGCTTCCCTAGTACATGTACCACCACACAGGCATGCTGCATTTTTTTCCTTAGAGCATGTACCTGTTATATCCCTGTAGACTTTATGTCCTTAGCTCAAGCACCTACTAGTGTACTTTTTCTGTATTCTAACTATTCATTTGTATTAAAAGAGAGAACACAGACTTCAACTATGCAATCCCAGTCTCAGCTCTAAACCTGGCACAGGTGCTCAATACTTATTGGATAGACAGACCTTTTGTTGGAAAAGAAAAATCATGCCTTATGCTGTTTGTGTTCCTTTACTACATTAAAGATAGCAGCCATAGTGGCTGTCTGATGAATGTCCAACTTTAAAGGGAAAATGGGGTTAATTTCAATTTCTACTTTGAAAGAAGACACAGGGGTGAAATTTAAAATGCCCTACTCTCATGGGGCTCGGCAACAGAGCTTTGCTAGACAAGCAAAATGCCACCCAATTTCACCCCTTAAGTAAAATGACAGGATCTAAATAAAATTATGTCCTTTCGACATCTTGCTGAGGGTTTTTGATTCCCCATGGCTTTATAGCACACTAACTGCATGTACAGAAAGACAAATGAGAGTTTCTCCTAAGGAAAGAGTAGAGCTTGTGCCGGGTGGTGGTGGCGCCTGCCTTTAATTCCAGTACTCAGGAAGGCAGAGGCAGGTGGTGAGTTCGAGGTCAGTGTGGTCCATAAAGCAAGTTCCAGTCAGGGCCTGGCTACACAGACAGGATACACTGAGAAACCCTGTCTGGAAACGAAACAAAACAGAACAAAAAGACCAGCTTTAGCATGGAAATCAGGCTGGCTGCTGGAGGGCTGGGAACATTGTCTTCAAGTCAGTCTTTCTTCAGCACACTAGTTTATTCCTTACTTTGTAGCCTTTAGGTGAATGAAATACCTACCCCATTGTTCACTTCGTGGATGGTAAGTATTTAAACACGGGTGAATGGGAACTTAGGGGAGTGGAAGTGCTCTGCGAGTGAAAGCCAAACCTAATCCCTAGAGGCGCTTTTGATTAATGCTAGCCTCCGTCATCTGACAAGAACCCAAGAAGAGAAGAGCCCCAACTTCACTCGTTCCACCACTTCCAAATCCCTCAAATCCTTCTCGAATGTCACCCTCACCATTCATCCCCTGCTCGGTTCGCAGCCGACTCACTCAAGTGCTCAGGGCAACAACCGGTAGGGGGAGGCAAAAGGAAGCACAACGATGCTTCTTAGCTTTGCTTCTCGCCACTGAGCAGCCGCCAAAGGCAGAAAACGTATCAGGAACCGGCCGGAGTTGTAGTCCTCTTCACCCGAGGGTCAATCAGTTGCTCTGGAAAAACCAGTCCAGTTTTAGGGGGGCGCCGCCGCCCCTTTCCCCCTGCTAAGTGTAGAATTCCCTACCAAAGAACAGTCCAGGATTTATGCGCAGCGGGAAAGCAGAGGGCGGTCCAACCCCGGCTACTCGCCTTGGCGGAGACGACGTCACAGTTACCGGACCGAGTGCGGCCTCCAATCCCCTTTCGTTAGAGATTCGCCTCCCTCCCTAGAGTTCGCTCGACCAGAAGCGCCACTAATTATGACGTCACGGCCCAACTGCCGCCGGGACGCGAGGGCGCTCTAGCCCGCCCGGCGCACTCGCTGCCCGACGCCCCGCGAGCCGGCGCTCTAGCACTCGGCTGGGCTCTGGGTTCTCTTTGCTTCCCGCCTGCGCCCGGCGGCTCGAGGGTCCCCACGGGCTGGGAGGTTCCGGACGCTGCTGTCGGACACAGACGGAGGTGGACTCAGGTAATTACCGCGATGGGCACCACCTCCAAGGCAACACCCCTGTGCCTCACTAATAAACTTCCCTTCCCTTTCCCAGCGCTCATCTGCCATGGAACTGGCCAGCCCCCACTCCAACTTTCAATCAGACTTGGATTTCTGCCCGGATTGCGGCTCGGTCCTGCCGCTGCCCGGAGCTCAGGATACTGTCATCTGCCCTCGCTGTGGCTTCTCCATAGACGTGCGAGGTGAGGGGTTAGTACGCTGGGCCCAGCCGAGGGTGCAGTGGATGGGTCCGTGGTGGGGGTGGAGGGGGTGACCTTAATAGGCGAGACCTAGAGCAGGAATCTGTCAGTCGGACTGACCCAGGGAGGAAACTTGAGTGGAGTATGTGACCCACCTGCCAGAGTGTTGCTGGGATTTGTGGCCTCCTCCATCTTTTCTAATGTTAACTTTTTACTTCCTGGGCAGATTTCGAAGGGAAGGTTGTGAAGACCTCAGTTGTTTTCCACAAACTGGGGGCGGTTATACCTACATCTGTGGACGAAGGACCTGAATCCCAGGGACCAGTGGTAAGTTGATAAGAACTGGCTTCCAAAGAACAATGGTCAGGTGACTGTGGAGACCTGGCTTTGCACTCTATTCCAGGAGAATTTCTGGGAGGTGTAATAGTCTGATTGCTGTACGGAAGCAGAGACTTGCTGTGACTAGGCCTCTATATAACCCATCTGCTTTGTCCTAGGTTGACAGGCGCTGCCCTCGATGTGGTCATGAGGGAATGGCGTACCACACCAGACAGATGCGCTCAGCTGATGAAGGACAGACTGTCTTCTATACCTGTGTCAACTGCAGGTGAGAATCTTTCCCCCTCCCGCTGCCCTTTCTCAGTGCAAACAATAAAAACAGTGACAGACTGGTACTAAGTATTTCATTTGGTCCAGTCCATAATAGGGAGGCTTGTAACCCCTTTTTTAATTACTTTGTTTTTTGAGATAGGTGATCACTATATATACCCAGGTTAGCCTTGAACTCTCATCCAACCATACAGCCCAGGTTGGCTTCAAATCAAAGCAGTTCTACTGTCTCTGCTTCTTCTTTTTTCTTTCTTTCTTTTTCTTTTCTTTTTTTTTTTTTTTTTTTTTTTTTTGGTTTTTCGACACAGGGTTTCTCTGTAGCTTTAGAGCTTTTCCTGGAACTAGCTCTTGTAGATCAGGCTGACCTCGAACTCACAGAGATTCTCCTGCCTCTGCCTCCCAAGTGCTGGGATTAAAAGTGTGCACCACCATTGCCCGGCTTGCCTCTGCTTCCCAAATGCTGAGATTCATGCATTTGCCACTTCACCTGACTTGTTAAAGAAATGTTTTCGTTTGTTTTAGTTATTTGTAGGGGTTTTTAGGTGCATATTCAAATAAGCAGGAGACGTTAAATCCCCTGGAGCTGGAGACACAGGTAGTTGTGAGCAGTTGGATGTGGGTGTTGAGAACTGAACTTGGGTCCTCTGCAACAGTATGAGCTCTTAACTGCTGAGTTATCTGAACAGCCCCCTTACTCTTTTGACAGCCAGTGAACTAAATCTTTTAAGATAAAGGAAAGCTGGGAGTGGTGACCTAAAGGAGGATTATTCATTCAAGGCCAGCCTGGGCTACTTCACGAGACTCTGTCCCACACACCAAAAGGAAATTTTAAAACACAGACATTGGTTTGCATAGTGGTATATGATGAAATCTTCCACCACAAAAGGGGTGACTGTACATAATTAATCTTGCATGATTCAAAGAATATGGCCTGAATAGTTGTTGTCTAGTTCCACTGTAGAACACGAGCATGTGGCTTTCTGTATTTTTGCTTTTTGTTACTGTTTTCCTTCTTCCTGGGGTCCGGCCAGCTTTATTCCAGGGCCTCAGGCATGCAAAGGAAGTGCTCTGCCCTCAGCTGTACCCTGAGCTTGCTTCTATTTGTCTTTTCCTTTTCTTTTTGATTTTCCTTGTTTTCACCTCTCAAATGCAAGGATTCCAGATTACAGGCGTGTGCCACCACAGCTGTTTCTTATGGTGCTGAAGATTCAACCCAGAGTTTCATGAGAGCTACATAAGCACTCTGCCAACTGAACTACACGTCCAGCCCCTTAGTAGGCTTTCTGAAGCTGAGAATTAAATTTATCGGCTGTTATCTCATTACAGTGTTGCTTGTCCTCCATGCTCTCAGATTAGTTATTAGACTTCCACAGTTCTCATTTTGCCTTTCTGTATCTTCCATCCGTTTCCGCTTATATTGTCTTCTGGGTAACTGCTCCAGGTGTTTCCTGCAGATCATTAGGTCTGTCTTCAATCTGTATGTGTATGTGGTGGTGAGAGTGTAGGATGTATGGTGTATTTGTGTGTTTGTGTGGATAATGTGTGCATGTATTTGTGCAAGTGTACATATGGAGGCCAGAGTTAGGCACTGGGTGGCTTCATTAAGTGTCTTTATCTCTCTCTACCTTTCTGTTTTAAGACAGGGTTTCACTATATTCTTAGTCAATATGGAATTCTGTGTAGACCAGGTTGGCTTCAAACTCAGATATCTGCCTCTGCCTCCAGAGTGCTGGGATTAATGGTGTGTGCCATCACTTCCAGCTCTCTACCTTGTCTTTTGAGGCAGTCTCTGAGCCTGGAGCTCAGGCTGGGCTGGCTACTCAATGAGCTTTGGACATTCATCCTTGTAGTGGCATTTTTATCTGTATCTTAATAAATAAATCTTGCCTGACGATCAGAGAGTAAAACAGCCCCTCTGGTCAGCCTTACAGATAGGTAGTGGTAATGCACACCTTTAATCCCAATAGCCACACTAGTTGCCATAGAAACCAGGTGGTGCACACCTTTGATCCCAGAACTAGAGAGGATTGTAAAATGGGAGGAGACAGCTCTCACGCACAGTCTCATTCTGAGATTCTTGGAGGCAGGATCGCTATTTGCAGAGTGAGGTAGAGGTAAGAGCCACTGGCTGGCTGCTTTGCTTTTCTGACCTTCAGGTTGAACCCCAGTTTCTCTGAGTTTTTATTAATCGTGCTTCACATCCTGTCTGTTATTGTCCCGTGCCTCCCAGTCCAACTGTAGTCCATTCTCTATATGTGACCGTGACACCCAGCATTTTCTCTATTTTCAAATGGGTGCTGGGATTCCAAGCTCAAGTTCTCATGAATGTGCAGAAGACACTTTACCACCTGAGCCATCTCCTCAGCCCCTTGGTTATTACTACTTTTTCTTTTTTTTTTTTCTTATTTTTGAGTCTCAATTTTTTTAAACCACTTTTTTTAAACTTCATGAATCACCTGAACAATTTAGCCCATTAGTCATTTAAAATTTTCAATCATTTTATTATAACATGTGTATGAGTGTTTTGCTTACATGTTTGTCAGCGTACCATGTACATGCCTGGTACCCACAGAAGCCAAAAATGTCAGATTCCCTGGGACTGGAGTTACAGGTGGTTGTGAACCACCATGTGAGTACTAGAAATCAAATCTGGATTCTCTGCGAGAGCAACAAATACTCTTAACCATCTCTCCAGCTCCCATTAATGATTTTAAATTGCTCCTTTTACTTTAAATTTGTATTAAATATATTAGACATGTTTCTATGTGTGTGGTAATTTCTGATATCCACTGTTTTTTGTGGTCAGATGCTGTCTATTTCTGCTGACTTTCTCATGGTACTTTTTCACTTTGTAAATTTTGATTGTATGCTAGTTTTTTAGAACTTGAATTTTTGTTTCCTTTTTTGGAGGTGTGGTGGGGGGTGGGGGGTTTAAGACAGGGTTTCTCTGTAGCTTTGGAGCCTGTCCCGGAACTCTGTAGACCAGGCTGGCCTCGAATGCACTAAGATCCGGCTGTCTCTCAAGTGCTGGGAGTAAAGGTGTATACCACCACTGCCCGGCGAACTTTGGTTTAAGGTCTGGGTGAATTCTGCATTTCCGGCATAAGTAGGGTTCTTTGAGATAAGTCTCTGTCCTGGGAAATTTTTGCATGCTTGAAGGTGATAATCAGGTATTAGTTACTTTAAGAGTTAGCGTTGAAGGATTGTTTAGGGGAAGCTCACCCATCTCTGTCATAAGAAAAACTCCTTCATGGGTTTTTGTCTCATCTCACACTGCTAGGAATTCTCTGGTTAAATATAATAAGTCCTTTCTTTCTCCATAGGTTTCAGGAAAAGGAAGATTCTTGACCTCTTCTGGCAACTCAACAACAATGCTCTTCCTCTTGGGAGGTGAAGATGGTCCTTTGAGACCTTCTCCCTCCCCTCTGGTTACAGTGCTCTGTTCTCAAAATAAGATCATCGCCCCCAGCTGGGCAGTGGTGGCACACACCTTTAATCCCAGCACTCAGGAGGCAGAGGCAGGCGGATCTCTGAGTTCGAGGCCAACCTGGTCTACAATAGCTAGTTCCAGGACAGGCTCCAGAGCTACAGAAAACCCTGTCTCGAAAAACAAAACAACAACAACAACAACAAAAAGATCATCACCCCCAGAGCATTCCTTCCCCAAGCTGAATTTACTAAAGTTATATTTTCTATGAAACCTTGACATTATGTGTGTTATTCATAATCTTGCTCTGGCCAGGCTCGTGGCATACGCCCTGTGACCCCAGCACTTCAGGGTAGAGGCAAGAAGGCTCTGAGCTCGAGGACAGTGAACTGTATAAGGAATTCAAAGCCAGCCAGCGCGACCTAACAAGATGCCTAAAACCAAAAATAACAATAATCTGTCTTATTCCAAAGGAAATTTAAATGACCTAGAATATGGTTGTAAAAAAGAAAACAAAACTGTAAGGATAAAATAATGGAGTCTGGAATGAAGCTGTTTGGGTTTGGGGTAATTCACCATGACCATGAATACATTTTAATAAGAAGCTTTATTAAATTCTGGTACTAGATACTCATGGCACCAGGACTGCAACCAAGAGCACTCCCAAGATGCAGCATCCAGTCATATCAACCCGAGGCTTATAAAGTAAGACCCCACAAAATTACATATATTCTCTCTACAAGTAGGCAGGGTCTAAAACATGTCTTGCTGTTGAGCAGAGTTTGATTACCAAAGCAGAAATAGCAGTTAGTCTTATGACCTGTTGCAGATTTTACAAGATCTGTCAATTTAAGAATAGTCTTTACAGAATGGTGGTGCAGGCCTTTGATCACAACACTTAGGAGGCAGAGGCAGGCAAATCTGAGTTTGAGGCCAGCCTGGTCTACAGAGCTTGTTCCAGGATGTTCGGGGCTACACAGATAAACCCTGTCGGGGTGGAGAGGGGAGGAGAATAGTCTTTAACTCTAGGAAAAGGGAGAGCACTGAGAACTGGTAAGGTATAGCTTGTACAAGCTAGGGGCTTACATGTTAGAGGCTTTTTTTTTTGCTTTTTTTTTTTTTTTTTTGCTTTCCAAGCATAGTAACTCTAATTGTAATGTTAACCATCACAAAATCAATACAAATAAAGCAGTTGGACTCATTATACACATACATCCTATCTAAATCTAGTTCCTCTTTGTAAGGAAAAGCTGGGATTTTTGGATGGGTAGTGAGAGATTTAACAAAATTTAACCAGATGTATTTGAATGTTGCCCTAACCCCCGCAGCCTAGCCTTCGTATTCCTGAAACTGGGAGCTAAATGGCAGTCTGGGCATCTTATATGGTTGGAAAATTCCAAGTTTAGTGTACCCTCGCTCCAAGTTCTGCAGACAGGCAGAGGACTAGAATCCAGTGCATTTCCCGCTCCTGAAAAACCATTTCTCGACAGAATGATAAGAAAACGGAGTTTGGATGAGCCCCACGTACTTTTCTACCCAGGCTTAAGGATACAGCAGACAAAGGAAGGGGTGCAGAGCAACATATCGACCTCACTTCCTCGGCGCCCAGCAACCCGGAGCTGCCCCTCCTCCACTGAATTTAGGCCCTGGGCCAGATCGCCCCGCCCTTTCATGACGTCACTTCTGCTAACTGCGGCGTCTGCGCACTGCTACTGTACGGCGGAACTAATCTGGTGACGCCTGCGCTTTAGTCAAGCGGTGCCGGGGGAAGGGAAACTGGGTCCTGCAGCATGCGTCACACCCGGAAGTGAAAGGACGGAAGTGGGGTTGGACAGGTTATCCCCAGGGGTGGGGAAGCAGAGGCCCTGGAGGAAGGAGGGGGGAGAAAAAGAAGCCAGAGTATTCTGGCCACTACTCCGAATCGTGTACCGGATCTCTTAGATCTCAGAGGCGCAGAAAAAGGGAAGGGTGTCTCATCCCGCTTCCTCGCTTTTCGCTTTAGCCATGGCGGAGGCAGGAGCCGGGCTGAGTGAGACCGTCACTGAGACAACGGTTACCGTGACAACCGAGCCCGTGAGAAAGGCGGGCGGGGGGCTTATTTAGGGGTCTGGGAGGTACTGGGAGGGAAACAGGTTTGGAAAGTTGGAGGGATTGGGATCTGGGACATGTGGTGTTGAGTCTTGGGAAAATCGCAAGGGAATGGGATGTTTGGAGCGGCTGAAATCATGAAAGTGGTCAAGGAACCTTTAATCCGCAGTTACAGTTAGGGCATCGGTGTTAGGGTTTGGAGTGGGGGTCCGTGTAGGTAATAAACGGAAACTGGGCTAAGGAGCAAGGGGAATACTAGGAAGGAATGAAAGGCCATTTGAGAAAGCATGGTTTTGGAGGCAAATGTTAAGAACGAGTACTCACCAATACATAGTCATGGAATGGGTGCCTGTTTAAGTGGAGGGAATGAGGAAAGAAAATAAGGTGAAGGTAGTATTTTTGACAAGTCAGAGGAGAGAGAAGCAAATGAGCAAATAGAATTTTTGCAAAAACAAGTTAAATTGCTTTCGAAGGGAGAAAGATGCGTTGAGTTTAATAATGTCTGAGTTGAAGGAGCTTAGTAGGTTAGTAATTACTACCAGAGATGCCAGGATGTTAGAGAATAAGTTGGTAGGATGTAGAGAGCCCTGGACTTGAAAATGAGAGAGTTACAAATGAAGGCTTTATTTGGAAGAGGACAGTTTTGGATTTTTGTTTTATTTTGCTTGTTCAGATGTATGAGGAGGCAGAAGCCAACCTTGGATGTTTCTCAGGCACAGGCTACCCCTCTTTTTTTCCCCCGTTGTTGATTTAAGAGACAACCATTTTTTCTGGAGCTGCCCAAATCAGCTAGGCCGGCTAGCGAGAGATCTGCTTCTCTCCACATCTCCAGTACTGGGATTGCAGACATACACCACCACTACATCTGACTTCCTTTTTAAAGTATGGATTCTAGGAACCAAACTCAGGAAAGCTCTTTACCAACAGAGCTGTCTCTGTAGCCCTGCTTTTTTTTTTAATTTTTATTTTTGTTTTTGAAAGAAAAAAGCTTTATCACTTTGCAGGGACTGGCTTCTTTCTCAGTCTCCTAAGTGCTGGGATTACATGCTTGTAATCTCCTAGAGAGAGCATGAATAAGAGGTATGAGGAAAGAAAGGGAGGCTGAAGATCAGCCACAGGGAACTGAGAAAATAACTTTCTTGTACTAATACCACCAAGGATGATGTAGGACGAAGATGAAGAAACAGGGAGGGTTGTGTTTTCCTTTGAAGACTTGCGGGCACCTTCCCAGGGTTAAGAATTGTCTTTTTTGCATACTAGTAGTTATCAAGAACAGGAATCGATAATTCCTCATGAACTGGTCAAAAACACGTTCTGTTTCGGCTCCCAGCACCTGGCTCCTCCAGTGACGTGGTGTGTGGTACTGACTGAGCCAGGGAAGAGAGAAAAAGAGGTTCCTTGGGAAACAGGAAAGGTCAAGAGGAGATTAGCTAGATGGGCCCATACCTCTTCACCTTACAGGAGAATCGGAGCCTAACCATTAAACTGCGGAAACGGAAGCCAGAGAAGAAGGTGGAATGGACGAGTGACACTGTGGACAATGAACACATGGGGCGCCGCTCATCAAAGTGTGAGTGCTGGCGGCGGAGCCCCTGCCTCCCTGATGTCTCAGTCCCTAGCCCCTGCCTCCCAGATGCTACAGTTCTCTTATTTTCTTGGTTGGAAAGGAAAATAGATGGGGATGATAAAACTGTGAATTAGCAAGTCTGTGGGGCAAGCCATGACAGAGTGGGAGAAAGGTGCTTCTGATTCTCTGAAGAGACAAGGAGCATGGGTGCCTGAGTCCCTGCAGGGGGGACTAAGAAGGTTGGATTCTGGAAGGTAAGAGCAGACAGTGCTGGGAGAGAATTTTCACATAGATGTGGCGGAAATGGACCGGACTGAACGTTGTACTCTTCGTCCTTTTTAACTGGTTTCCTTCTCCATCCAGGCTGCTGTATTTATGAGAAACCTCGGGCCTTTGGTGAGAGCTCCACCGAGAGTGAAGAGGATGAAGAGGAAGGCTGTGGTCATACGCACTGTGTACGGGGTCACCGCAAAGGACGGCGTCATACAACCCCAGGACCCACCCCAACCACTCCCCCACAGCCTCCCGACCCCTCTCAGCCCCCTCCAGGACCTATGCAGCACTAAATCCCTCTCCCTGTTCATATATCTGCCTGGTCCCAAATGTATCCATCTGGCTACATGGGGATTTAACCCATGGTCTGATCCCTTCTCCTGCCCCCTCCTTCCCTCTCCTGCCTGATAGAGAAGAGGAAGAGGAGGGTGGATAGAGATCCTGGAATTCTGACTTGCTGCTGTTCCAGAACCCAGGCTTCTGGGTTCTCCCAGCCTCGTTTTCCCTACAGTCCCCCCTCCCCAACCCCCGTGCCTGGAATCCAGGCATCTTGGTCTCAGTTTGTCCCATTTGTTCTCACTGCCAAACTACCTGTCCTGGGATCCAGTTATCTTGGCCACCTGCACCCTTAGCTTGAGTCCCAAGCTCTTAAACTGGGTTTTCAACAGTCCCAGCTCTCACTGCCAGGACCCCACTCAGATTCCAGGCAATCTTGCATCCCAGCTCTGCATATAATCCTGGCTTACAGTTCTTCCCCTTATGCAGTTATCCTAAGTCTTAGTCCTTGCCTGTGGGATCCAAGGATTTATGGAGACCAGACCATAGGGTTCCCCAGCCCTTCCGCTCCTACATACCCCTTCTGGCCCTCAAAAGGAGTTAGGAGAGGTCTTTGTCAGTCACATCTATAATGGAAAGTGGACCCCAAAATAGTCATGACCTGAATATAACATTTCTGACAAGGCTGGCTGAGACCAGTGACTTAGAGCCAATGATTTTCTCAACCTTTAATCTTTGAGCTTCAGCACTGTTGTCCAAGGGGCCTGGGTCTCTAAAAGGAAAGAGGGAGAGAGCAAAGAGATAAGAACAGGCCCCTGCAGAGCACTCCTCCCTTTCCTGCCTAGGCTTTGATGTCTACCAACCCAGGTGTCTTGCTCTCTCAGCCCTCCCCCCTGGTGCTGGGATTGTCCTCCAGGCCTCCAGCTGTGCACAGTACGAGATCAGCAAAGCCCATGCCACCACTGAGATCTCATTTATTGCCACAGATGCACAAAATAAATAACCTAACATTACACAATGTGTTAAATACAGGCCCATTTATACACATGGGGAGAATGGGAGACTATACAAGGATATTTCGGATGCCCGGGTTGCTCCCAGGTTGAGAAGGGGGGTAGCACCATTGGTTCTTTTGTGTGCAAGATGAAGTTCCAAGAAGGTGTTTAAATAAAGGTACAAGGGCTCTGAGCATAGAAAGCAGTCATAAATGTAGAGGGTGGACTGACTTGCACATATATCCCAAAATTTATATTCTAGGCTTCGGAACTGAGGGCCTTAGGTTATGAGTTAAGCATCTTATTTTAGGAGGACTTTTCTTGAGGGGAATCCTCAGAGTGAACATCAGTGGCTCCAGCCTTTCTGCTGTGGATCAGGCCCTGAGCCCTTTGGGATTAGAGGTAAACGCAGACTGTTTCCCAGGACTGGTGGTGCAGAGCCTTTCTCTGTCTGCCTGGAATGATATAGAAAGGGAACTCAAAAGGTTGGGTTAGGGCATGGAGACACAGGACCAGACTGGCTTAAAGGCATGGATGTACAAGCCAGTTTGAGGTCTTGCTTTGGGAAAAAGAATGTAAGTTGGTAAAGGGTGCTTATTAGTACCCCTGCTGCGACAGGTATACAGACATGATCACTGAAATAGGTGGGGATTTCTGCACCAGAGAGAAGTGGCCTCGAGGCATCCGGTATAGGCTAGAGTAAGAGGTAGGGGACCAGACGCTCAGCCTTCTCCGGGCACGATGCGCAGCGGGGCGTGGTGATCATAAGTGCACAGCAGCGGGAAGATGCGCTCCCCGAGTGGGCCCGGCGCCTGGAAGGCGAAGAGCAAGTCCAGTGAGCGGCCGTCATAGAAGGCCACACGGCCCCGCTCCCAGTCCAAGTCCACGCGAATGCGCTGCGGCGGTGGCCTGGCGCCGCCTAGCAGAGTGGGCTCTGGGCCCGTGAGTGCCCATAGGCGTCCGCCGCGGCCCTCCACGGCCCATACAGCCTCGGATGGGCACAGCTTGATGAGGCCCTTGCGCGTCACGGATTCCCCGGCCGCGCCTACGGCATAGCAGCTCTCCCCTGCGTCCTCATCCTCCGAGGTAGAGTCTCTGAAAGACGCGCCCTCCACGGTCTCCACCTCCCAGCAGTGGCGGCCTGAAGCGAAGCCCTGCGCACCCAACACGGCTGGGAGTTGGTCGAAACGCGCAGGACTGTCCAGGGGCTCTGGAGTTCCAGGTGGAGCCAGACACACACCGCGGTAGTCAGAGGAGATGAGCAGACCACGGTGTGCAGTGCGAGGGTCAAGCGTCAGGTCAGCTGCAGAAGAGAGGCAGAGGAAACCCCACATGAGAAGTTTATAGAGTCCAGAACGAGAAGAGTAGGGAAGAGACCGCGAGGGCACTTAGGAGAAAGAAGTGCTTGAGTTCTCTAGACAGCTCAAAGGGCGACTGGGATCAGAAAGAACTAAGGCACAGAACAGGTGGAGGCAGGCCACCGGGTGCTATGATGCGTCACTTTTGTGGAACTGGACTTGGACAAGGACCATGCTGATCCAGGGCAGGGACCACTGCGTGGAGACAGGAGAGAAGACTGTCTGGTTTCTGGTGTTAGTGGAGGAAGAGTAGCTGATTGGACTTCTAAGGAGAATGAGGACTAATACTGCAACCACCTACAAGCCGGGCTGTGGTTGGTACATGCCTTTAATCCCAGCCCTCGCGAGGCAGAGAGGGCAGCTCTCCGTGAGTTCGAGGTCAGTCTACACAGCAAGTTCCAGACCAGCTATGGCCACATAGTTATGACCTTGTATCAAAACAAAATGAAACATAAACCCTCGAATCTGTAGCATCTGGGTGGAGCATGGGAGTCAGGTCAGTAAGACTACAGAGAGAGACTGATACCAGATAGGAACCAATGTGATTAAAGGAGGGGCAAAGGAAGGACTCCAAGGTATCCAGTAAAACCAGGCCACTCACCCTCGCAGGGGTGGAAACCGGACAGGTTCATTTCTATGAAAGGTGCAGCCAGAGAAGAGACAGAGATCTCGAAAGGTACCAGAAAGACCACTGAGCTTTCTTCTGGATTAGGAGCAATTTGGATTAAGTGGGATGGATGTGTGACTAAGGGGTAGGTATGGTAACGCATGGAGAGCAACCTTGGGATTGGGCAAAGGGGTAGGAGATGCTGGAGTCTTGGGACCCTTCTCACAAAGAGCAATGGGAGACGGTGGCAGCAGGGATTCCTGAGGGCAACCTTGTATTGTTTGGGTGCACACCAAAGAATAAGGCTATTTTTCTGAGTTAAACCGTGTCTCCTGGCCAGGTGTGGTGTAACATACTCATGGCTTCCACATATTAAAGGCAGAGACAGGAAGAACCCGAGTTCTACACCAGCCTAGGACACATAGGAAGACACTGTTTTAAAAGGTGTATGTGTGTGTGTGTGGGGGGGTCAATTTTGTTCCCTAACTTTTCTGAATTTACCCTATGCAAGAAAAGGATTTTTCCAAAGGTAATCAGGTAAGAAAAAGATCATTAGGGTGGACCCAGATGCAGTATGACTGTTACCTTAAAAGGGAGAATAGACTCTTGGACACAGAGACAGGCACATAGAATAAGGCCCAGGTAAGACTATCTGTAGGCCAAGGGAGTGCCGAGGCTTCCAGAAGTCAGGAGAAAGCATGAAACAGATTTCTCCTGAGCCTTCACACTCCCACTCTATACTTTGAAGTGTGGGTGGTTGCTCAAGTCGCCCATTTGTGGCACTTTGTTAGTTTGGCCCTAGAAATCAAACTAATGTCAAAAGGGGCTTGTCCATTTTTGACAGTTGACAGGGAGCAAACAGCACAGATCGTGATTCCCGCCTCTTCCCTCCTCACCTGTCAGTCTGTGGAGCATGTTTTTCACTACAGGGTAATCTTCAGGAAGGTCCTCGTCTGAGATGGAAGACTTGGGTGCTGGGACCTCAAATCTGCACAGAAGAAGGAAGGGTCAGGAAGTTACCAGCCTTCCTGTCTTTTGATGATGGTTCTGAGGACCCCTGTTCCTAACCCACTTGCTCTTAACAGAAACAGGTGGGGCTATACTCCAGAAGAGACAGAAATCTGAGGCTGGAGGGAGGTGATGGTTACCGTTGCAAGTAGTTGGAAGGAAGAAACAGTGAAAATGGAACTCACCTCCTCCACGTCTTCCTCATATCCTGGTATGGGCAGAAGAAAACATGGAGTGAGTGTCAGGTTCATATCGTGAGGCATCCTTCCCTCCGCCTCAGGCGAGCGCTGAGTGTTTGTTACCCCTCCCCACCACCTCTTAAGATGGCCTTTCTTTCCTCCCTCTGCTCCGTTTTTCTCTTCTGTTCTCCCCTCTTCTTTCATGGCCATCCTTTCTGCTCACTCCAACATCACTTTCTCCTCATGCTCTTAGCTCCATCATCCAAGGGTTCTCCCTTCCTCAGCCTCCACACACCAGCTTCTTGCGTGTGTTCCAGACACATGTCCACCCCTTCACCATAAAAAGGGAACACACACCCATATTCATTGAGTTAAGAGTTGTTATATAAAAGACTCACAATAAAGCTGCTTCCCCTCTTGCCTTAAAAGCTCAGTGGCGTTTATTGGGCTCTTTGTTTTATGTCATCTTTTACCCTCAGGTCCCTGAACTCCGAAGTGTCCTAAGAGGCCCTTCAGATTTTATGACAACCAGACATGTAACCATGACAGCCAGAAGAGGGCGCTGGATTCTCTCCCCCTCCAAACACTGGGGTTGCCCTCCTTCCCTTTTTTTCTGTTGCCCAGAGAGGATGGCTGGAGAGGCCAGTGTGGCAAGGGAGAAAAGAGAGGACGGCAATTACACCTAGACTAATTAGGTCTGTGCAGTCTTCAAAGGGCGGAAGCAGGACCCAGAGCAGGAGGGCTGCTAAGGGGAAATAAACCAGATGCGATTCCCTTGAGGTACTGCAAGGAATGGGAGTGGTTGATGTCCAAAGGGGCCCAGGGAGGGCCTAGTGGGGAGATTGTAGGGTTGCAACGTGGAAATCTGCCAGAGGCCTGCCAGCTGCTCACCCGGACCTCGCCTCCGCCTGTTTCCGCCCCTGCCTGGGGACCTGGGAGGAGCTGAGAACAATAACAACTCACAGCTCAGCTAGAGCTTCTTAGGGGAACCCCTGCCTCACTTGCGACGTTTGCATCTGCCCAACACGCCCCCACCTCATTTGCCACTCTCCTCCTTTCCCATCCCTATTTCTGCACCAAGTCTCAATCTTGGCTTCAGTGACTCTGTTCATTCGGCCCTATATCCACCCTCCCTGGGCTCCTCCTCGCCCTAACCCGGGTGTCTGTTCGCATCGCTCCCCTCCCCCTTTCTGTCTCCCACCGGTGAGCCTGCTTAGTCCCAGCTCCAAATTCCATGTTTCTTGCAGGCAGGAGGCTCCTGAGCGTCCTATCTACAACCAGCACGTTGTCTCTGCCTCTCCAACCTCTTAACCTCCAGCTCCACTGATAAGATTCAGGCGTCTGTCCGTCGTTGTCCTCCTCCTCCCCCGACAAGTGTCAACTCCTTACAGCTTTTCCTAACTTCCTTACTCAAATTGTTCACTCAAGACTTGCTCTCTCTCTCTCTCTCTCTCCCTCCCTCCCTCCGTCCCTCCCTTTCCCCCCTTTTTCTCTTTCCTCCCTCTCTTAAAATTTTTATTTTAAATTCCTCTCTCTTTTCTATGTAACCATCTCTGGGTTGGAACTCGCTCTGTGTACCAAGATGGTCTTGAATTTGCAGCAATCCTCCTGCCTCCGTCTTCCCGGTGTCAAGCTGTCTACTACCCAAATTCCCTTTAGGGCTTTAGAGTTAACAGCACGGCGTCCACCTTTGCTAGGACACCTACAAACCTCTTCTTCACCAACAACCTGGACCCGCGAAGAAGGTTGACTTCCTTACCTCTCCATGCGGGTCCAGGCAGCCCATGGTGGGGATGCGGCCCCCGCGTCGTCTCCCAGTCCGGGCCCCCGGCTCCGCCAGTTTCTCACGCAGTCCACGGCTGATGC